TTTCTGCTTCTATAGTCTCTTTAGTTTTTGTTATTTTAATCACAAATGTTTATTTTTATTATTATATAATTAAATAACAAATAATTTTAAAGAATCAAAATTATTGAATTTAATATAGTTTGTGACTTAAATTGTGAGTTTAATGGATTAATTGGATTGACTCATGTCTAACTAACATATTGTCATCTTCGTGTTAAAAAGAAAAAGATGGTGTTTTAAAATTTTTCTAATCAAATCAAGTTTTGACTAGTCATTTAATTTGTTTTTAAACTTGTTAAGTCAACTATATCATATCAAGTCAACTTTCATTTAATTTGATTTAAAACTCAAATCATGCAAGGAGTTATGTAAGGGAATCTCTAAATTGATAAATTAGACTAGATTTAATAATATTATCAAAGAATTCCATGTGACCATGCCTAAACATTGTTTTTTTTTTAATATACTTATATCTAAATTATGAGAATGTTGTTTTTATATAATTCACACTTGATGATCCTATAATGATATGTCTAAAAACCAATGATATTGTAAAACATTTTCAAAAAGAAAAAGAAGAAGAAGAAAAGAATGAGTGTGTTAATTAGAAAAGAATCCTTATTTTAAATTGTCCAAATCTTTTTAAGTATGTGTTTTAATTGCTTTTGTTCTTAATAAATAAATGAGATGAGAAAAATGTTAGGATTTTATTTTGTTAAAATTAAAGATGTTAATAGAAAAAAGAAAGAATTATATTAGTACACTAGTTTGTTTTAATGAAATTTATTGGCATATTTAATTTTTAATCTACTTTATTAAATGTGGTGTTAAATTTTTTATCCATGATCAATTATCCGAGTGCTCTCTCCTTGACAAGAGCCGGACGGAGAGCTTGATTCAAAGTGCATGTCAATTTTGGATGTTTCTAGCTAATTGTTTTTTTTCTTTTTAAAAAAATATAGAGATTATGTAATTTGTAGGACTATGAGTACTAATATATTATTCTTAGTAAACTACAAGGACTAAATTTATAGTTGGCTAAAAAACTACATGAAACAATGACAAATACCAAAAAAATAAGAAAAAGAAAAGGAAAAACAGAGAGAGAGGGGGGGGAGCAGAGTACCGAAGCAACTTCCAGCTAGGGACAGACTGACAGAGAGTGATACAGATTCTTAGTTTACTCAGATCTGAAGTTTTTGTAATTTAATCGAAATTCAAAGAAAACCCATTCTTTTCAGTATCCAAAGAGTAAACCAAAATGGACGCATTGAGGAAACAAGCCAGCAAGTTGAGAGAACAAGTTGCCAAGCAACAACAAGTAAACATTTTTTCTATCTATCAATCAGTCTTTCCCTTTTGTTTTCAACCTCCGATTATCTTAACATGATACTTCCTGATTGCTCGTTTGTTTACAAAAATGTGGACAAGGAAATCAATGGAACATTTGTTGGATTTGTTTTGGTTTTTGCTCTTCCGGGTCTTCACTAAACAGTCTAAACTAATCAGATTTGGCTTAAATTGTTTATTGGGGTATGCTTATTAATGGGATTTGAGAGTGGTGCATCTGTTTTTCATGGAGTAAACTGTTGGGTTCAATTATTTGCAAACAACTTTGGCATTCTTGGTGGTGTTGATGAAGAGGGTTCATATCCTTCTAAATTTTGTGATTAGAGAAAATGATTTAAGTTGGAAATGCAAAATTTACGGGAAAGGCGAATGGCGAATCCTTTTCTTGTTTCTGATGAATTTTTCCCTTTGATATGTCGGTTCATTTTGTGTTTACAAAAAACTCCATATTGCAGACTAGAGAGTTGGAGTTTTCAAATGTACCAACCTCATAAATAGGAAGCAAATGTAGTTAGCAAGCGTTGTACTGCGTACTCCAAACATTTCTTAATGTTTCCACTTAATCTCTGTGCGCTAGAGCAGTTAAAAATTTTAAACCACATAAATGATTTGTTTATTGAAAGACGGACTGATGTTACTGGATCACATCTGTTTATTTGTTTTATTTAGGGTGGATTAGTTTTGCAATAGGCAATTCGTTCTTAGCAGAGACATGCTGCATGGTGCAAATAGTTATGCTTTAAGATGCTGGAAGACCTGGTCCTCTTGTGAAGTTGTCATCTAGAATGATGTGGAGCATCTCACTCTTTCATTTTAAGAATATTTTTCTTCCTTAACTGCTAGCTTCTTTTATGATCTCCAAGCTGGCTTCTTTTTTCCTTTTGGTGTTAATAGTAGAAGAATAGTATAAGAAAGGAAACTATAACTACATCTTGGAGAATAAGCCATTGCCCATCTACAAAAGAAAGAAGAAATAAACCTTGAGATAGAAGAGAGCTCCAATATCCATGAATATCAGTTAGGTAAAGACCAAGAAGCCCTCTAAGTATTGCACCATAAAGCTGCAAGTAACACTGTCCTATTACACAGAAGTTGTCTCGAGGACAAGGTGAAATGCCCTTGGAGACTCTAGCACGTCCAATATATTACCTATGTGGAAGATAGCGCATATCCATAATATCTTTCTGTCCACTCCCAGAAACCCACAGAGGATAGACAATGCGATTCACCCTTCAGAGGGAAGCATTCTGAGTCGAACTTCATGACCTTACCCGTTCTTTATATCTTGCCTCCCTCATAGTTCCTATGCATGTGGTGTGAACACATCGTATTTTTTTTCTCTATCTTGTGAAATCAATGTGACAGTATATATTTGCTCAATACACTCCTAGTTATCAAACTAAGTCAAACTTGACCTAGGCAACTCGCTCAAAACTGAAGTCGCTCGCAGGACTCAGAGAAAGACTAGCTGCACCTTCTCTCCATCCACAGAAGGAAAGTAGAATCCCAGGAACAAGGGTACTTCTGAAATAGGTTATGATGAGAGAGGGGGTGAGTGATGGATAGCTTTCATTGAAGATACTTGTTCTACAAGCTCCAATGCAAATCCTTAACTCCTCCCTTCCTAAGCCTCCAACCACGAGGGCTATCCAACCAGCCCTAATCTGAAGCTGGTTGGGATCTGCATTCAGCATATAAATTTATAAATCATGATAAACACATTCTTGCAGATTCGCATTTATAAACTTTATATATCTTGTAATGTTCTGTGTTAGAATCTGTTCATTGTATTAAGAAACCTCAACCTGAACAACTTTGATCCCCTTCATGTAATCTTTATAAAATATACTTGGTCAACACCTTCTAATGTTTTTTTCTTTTTTTCTTTTGATTTTAGGCTGTCATAAAGCAGTTCAGTGGTACTGGTTATGAAAGCTCAGATGTTATGGTTATTGATGAAGTTGAGATGCACAGACATCAGCAACTAGAGAAGATGTACTCATTGACTCGTGCAGGGAAGGTGGGACATTTCACCTTCTTGAGATGAAAATTAATATTAATTCTATTCTGTTATCTTTCATGAAACAGCAGCTGATACTGCTCGTGGTTGACTAGTTCACATACTTCAATAATGTGCTATACTCTTTGAGAGAAGTAATTATATTGCTAATAAAATTAACATGTTCAGGGAAGTGCTTATCCTTTGATGAAATGAGGCTGTGGATGATGAAAGGATGATCCTAGATTTCAGTAGGTGACAATGCTAAATAAGTTTATGCATATGATAGCAAGGAATTCGAAACTTAAACATTCTTTCTAAACATTTCCATTTGACTAAACCAGGAATCTGATAGGACCACACGTCTGTCATTCGTGATATGACCTGTCTTTTTGGTACAATCAGATTCCTGGTTAAGTATAAGAAATCTGCCAGCCATTTCTTTTTCTATGTGCATTGCCAATATCAACAACTTCAATTCTTGTTAATAGCTTTTGAATGTCTTATACCAGAGTGCTTATAGAAAAAAAGGTCTTATGCCAAAGTTCATTCTCTTCATTATCTGTCACTATGTCCAATTTCTTCATTTATATTTATTTATGAAAATAAATTTCCATGCTTGAGCTTTCAAAGTTACTTGCTTCCATGTTACATGGTGAAATTTGACTTTTCTTGCAGTCAAGCTGCTTTAGTATGTACGTAGTCTCATATATGTGGTAACTGAGCTTTACGGCAAGGGGAAATTAGTATGCTATTAGTGTGTTTGGTATTGTGGTAGCTTTTGTAGTTGTGGTTTGAAAAAAGTTATTTTATAAGAAGCACTTTTAGTTGAGGTTGATTTGATATTTATATATGTTTAGTTAAAACTGTGGTTGAAATTGAAGTTGAATAAAAAATAATTTGATATATTTAGTTAAATATGTTTTTCATATTAAGGTTACAAAATAATATATATATATATATATATATATATTTATACATTGATAGA